CTCAATTTTTGAATTATTGTTTTTCACATGGTGATAAATACATTGATAATGAAAAAATGCCATTTAAAAGTATAATTTTTTTTATTGTTTTAAATTTTTATAAATTACGAACATTGTTTAAGTCAACTGTCAAATATGTATATAGCTTATCCTTAAGTGCTTCTGTTTTACAAATGAAAATGAAACATTATGGCGTCCAAGTATTCCAAAATAGAAATTGTACCTACCATTTTGTAACCTAAAATTATATTTTATAACGACATTAGACAAAAATGTATTTTTATATGGCATAAACGCTTTACCTTTCTTTTGCAAATGATAATCTTTCTTCTAATTTTCTACATTTAGTTTGTCAATTACTATAATGATCAACTGACAAATGCCAATAATATCATAGTATAATAGTTTTAATCAAAATTTTGATTGTATAGATTGTAATATTCTAGATTTCCATATAAACATTATTTTTATATTTTTATAAAATTACGTTTGTTGGCGAATTGGCACTTTTTCCATTTTTACCGGAGACCGGTTTTCAGGTCGGCGAATCGGGCCTGAATCTTTTCCACATATATCTTTAATCAACATTAAATTTTCTTGGTTAACATTCGTTTATAAAAACCTTAAATATTAATCTATAACTGATCCGTTATAAGGTCTCAAAAACYTTATTGTTAGAATTTGTCTATATTTTTTACGTTGTTAACTTTTCTGACTCTGCCGTTTTGTGCATTCAATTTGTAAATTCTTTTATAGATTAAATATTCGTAAAAATTCTTTGGAATTATGTTCTGACGAAGTGATCGACTGTACTGGTACCACGGACCTAGTTCATAGATGGCCAAGTTTCAGTGACTTCCGATGAGTTCCACACGGCGAGCGCCCCATGGGCGTTAGCCTTGTGTGCAGCTATTATGGTCAGTCAATGCCTCCAGTCCGAACTCGAATCCAATTATTCTCAATAATTTCACTGTCTGAAGTTTTTTTTCAGCTAATTTTTCTAACTACAACTGCAATCAYTGCAATGCATTTTTAAAATCCTTTATTGTATATTGTAAAAATCTTTTACATTACGTTCTGAAAATGTGTTGGCCATGTCGRTTTTGAAAACAGTCATTTACATTTTTTTCAAGACTATATTAGCCTACGTTTTTATACGCGCGGCAAGGATTTGTTGCTAAAAATTCGAGTGGTCACCCATCTGGAAGCAACACCGACTGGTACGTACCTACATTCTGAGCGTTTCCGTAGTTGAGCGTACTACCGCACATAAAACCATAGGACTAATATTGTTAACTTTTATTTGTAGAAAGATATTCTATTGTTCTTTAATTGCATTGTTTTACAGTCTTATATCAACGTTRCTTAGTCAAGTATTTACTTAACGTCGTTTGCCAACTAAGTAGATTCTAAAATTAATTTATAGCATTACTGTTCTATGTTTATAGCTGTCTGTATCATTATTTATTCCATGATATATTTTGTTAGCTTCTAACTTTGTGGTGTTTGTTAAATATTATCATTTATCAATAATCAATATCTTGCGCACTCATTGGATAGAATTGATATTTGATATCAATGATATTTTAATCGTTTACTGACTTACTGTATATCATAAATTGTGCATGGGCAGCGAGCAAAATTTACAGGTTAAGTCGAACGTCGWCTTTTCAATTTTGCATCAAATCTATTATACCAGTATCCATTTATTTACTGTTACCGGGCCGTTTGCTAATAAATTATCACCAGAATCATTGTTTTTGAGTTCAGCTACATTTTAAATGCTGATTATATCTAGCAATGTTATGGCTTTATTTTTATTGTTTATTTCTATGGGTACATTGGARAGTGAAAAATCTTCAACAATTTATAGATTTGCAGAAGTTTTTCGATAAGAATTACTACGAATAACAAAATGTATTTCACATTTAATATTATCATAGATCTTAATATACTCAGTATAAGGTATATGAATATTATGTACTCACCCTAACACATCTATATTCTATTCAGCAGTAAATCTATTTGAATTAGTTAGTTACAAGTATAACCTAACCGTCCTAACCTATACTAACTGGTGTCCCGTAAGGATTTACCCATCGCGATATCTTACGAAATAATGGAGACATGAAAATTCTGGTTTTGTTATAAGACTCACAAGGATAAGAACTACAATTATTTCATTTTAAATATATTTTAATTTTTGCTGAAAAATTTGAAAAATATATTTTTTTATTTAATTATTTCTAAAAAAATTAATGGGCCATATTGTAGAGTTTATTTTTYTAAATATATTGACGTTACAAAATTTATTTTCGTCAATTTCCTGACTTTTTTTTTAGTTTTGAAGAAATAAAATATGATATTAATCACTAGGTACATTGAAAACGTTCGGCTGGTCCTACACGAGAACGCGCGTGATGTCGCGGTGGGTCGCACATATGTTTGATAACACTACGGTATTAAAAAATTCACAATTTTTCCCGAAACTAAATAAAACATCAATGTTTTCAAAAAAATAAACTACAAAATGCCTTTAGTGAAATTTTTCGGAAATAATTAAATAAAAAATATATTTTTAACTTTTTTATCAAAATATTAAAATAAATTTAGATATGAAATAGCTGTAGTTCTTATCCCTGTGCATAGAGTAATATTACTCTATGTCCCTGTGAGACTTATTATAAAACCAGAATTTTGATATCTCCATTATTTAGAGAGATATCGTAATGGGTAAATCCTCGAGGGACACTTGTATAATACATATATATTATAAAGCTGTACCAAGGGTGCCTTTATCAATAATATTTTAAAATGGTTTGAAAATAATAGTTATTTAACACTAGACATGAACAATAAAAATTATAGTATATTTTTAATGATAATATTAAGATATAATTTTTACTATTTAGGCTTTGTTGAGCAAAATTATGGTAAATGCGAAAATGTTTTATACATTTTTTCAAACTGGAAAGTATCAATTGGATGYAAAATGAAACATTTCCTGGTTTCCTACCTGCTCACAACATTTCGGGAAGGAAAATTTCTACTTTTCGTTATTGAAATATTTTAAATTATAAAATAATATATTATTTAGTATATGTTAATATGTGTATTGTGTACTGACCAACARTTGTATGGGTTGAGGTTGTCGACGTACTGGTGATTCACTGTTACTCTCATCACGCTAGCTGCTATCACCGACAATGAGGGTACGCCCCAAGCGAATAAACTATACTTGACGAATCTTGAAATTAGCACATTTACCGGCTCCGGTCGTGGGTTAAGATTCACATTGTTGCGGAACGTTATCAACATATCGTACGTCATCACACACAGCCAGCTGATAATGGCCAGGCGGAGGTAGTGTATTCCAAACGCCAGGCACAAACAGAGATTATCTTCCTGGTAATATACATAAATTACAATAAAATTAAATTCGTTATAATGGAGAATATCTTTTACTACTCGACTACGTTCCGGGAAAAATGTACAAATGTAAAATGAAAAAGTAGCGCGCCWCTTGAATACAGTTTTTTTCTATAATTTACAGCAAGGTTTTTGAGTATGAAATTAAACTCACAATAAAATTAATCTAGCTCTAAAAAACTTCAAGTGTCGACTTCCCTGTGTAGCGTTATTGAAGGTTGGATGAAATGTACTCAAAGCAGTTAACTTTTTTAATCAAGTTTAACTAGATTTTACGAAATCAAAAAAGTGAAAACCTTATTAAATAATTTATTTTGTTTAAAATGTTTTATTGTCGACAATTTTAAAAATATAGAAAACAATAATAAAATACCTATATCTATGGATTAAATTCCTTTAAATAAAAATATGTATGTTGTTTTGATCGATTTATGATAGGTTACAAACTCACGAAATATTATGTTGATGTTTAAATTTGAACTGTTTATTAATATTGTTATTTTAATCGTTATAAAGTTACGTATTATCAGTTAACAACCGTAAAATGTATTACCTGAACTCCTCCGACTCCAACAACATAAAACAATTGCGTTAAAAACATATTTGCCAGCATGTACATTAATGCTGTACCTGACATTGTTCTTAGATCGGAAAACAAACTGAAAACAAACAATAATTGAAAACTATATTATTAAATAGTTTTAATAATATTATTATTGTTTAAATGGTGTGTATTTTTTTTTTGCATTATCTACAACCTGGAGTTATCTACACCATAATATTAATTTKGGTGTGTAGGTTATGTCAAAAATATCCTACTGTAGTTTGCAGTTATGCACTTTCCTTTAAGAAAATCTTTATATTTTGCCATTTAGGGTCGCATCTGCAGCAGTAACGCCATTACATCAAGAATGGACGAGAACGGAGAGGAATAGATAGGTAATGAAAGGACAAGTACCATTTGTTAAGGTGACATTTCTGTGTTGACAAAGATATTTTCTACAGTTATACCGTATACGTCATGGTCGTCATCATTATTGCCATGTCCTTGCTAAATTTTTTAGTTTTCTACATTTTCATTCAGTTTATCTCACTATACTGTCTTTCAAATTAGACATCGGAAGTTTTATACGCCACAGCTGTTATGATATTAGCACAAGAATAATGATTATAATATCAGTCTAATAAATCTATGAATTGTATGCGAAGTTGTGTGGTAGGTTGAGTTGTGAGTAATTTTGTGGGTTTCAGAGTAAATAATACCTAATTAATAAGTTATTATTTATAACATACTTGTTCTAATGATATGAAATACTAATGACTAATGAATTTAACGTCATACTCTTTTATGACGATGTTTCTATATAAAAAATAATAATAGTAAATGTATTGGTTTTCAATTCGGATAAAAATCTAGGCACATTTCAGGTCGTATATATTCAGTGTATATATACATCCAATACATGTACATTTTACATTAATATGAGTATTTGCGTACAATAAAAATGCATGTGTGTAGTGTAATGTCAACTATCCAATATCCATATTATACCTCTTAGCTATAATACGAAATACGAATTGTTGAAATATTTTAAAAACTACACCGCACCTACACCATTCGTTTGAATACAACTACTTCTGGTATTGTACAAATTCCAGACTAGAAAAGATTAAACTATTAGCTTGAATGTAAAAATAAGAAATTATGTACCAGCTATTGAAATACAACCTATCATAGATTTTTTATTAAATCGTTTACCATATTCTTGCATTGTGATATTA